TAATCATGAAGTGTATTCTCCCAGTGTTGAGGTTAGATGTACAGTTTGGGTATATGTCAAATTCCTTTCTGCTTCTGAATCTGTGACTCTGCAGCCTACATGGCAGATGTCGAAGCCCAGCACTTCCAGTTTTGTTTGGAATGTTGATTCTTGCTTACCCAACATGTTGGCTAGGTCTGCCTTCAAAGGTAGGTTGCAAATCAGCTCCGTGATATCGGGATCTTGTGAGATTTTCTACAATTTATATGAGCTTTCAGACTGTGCAGGACTAGGTGGAGAAGAGTCACCAGACTGTCTGCGCCATTTTGTTTACGGCGGTATCTGTTTCGCGGTACACTATCTTTGAAACATCAGGATAAGGAGCTCGATTTAGTCAAGAGTGTTTTCCCCGATGTGCTGTGTGGGTTATTTTGTCTCTTGGGGCTCTCCATTTTTGTTTGCCGTCTCTGATTAGATTGACGATCAAATTAGAGGGAGTTGAGCTAGTGCACGTCCATTCAGCTCCTCTGTAGGCCATGTCCCCTCCAAATGTCTGTTTTTATGCTGGAACTTCTTGATCTTTCGTTAAGTCTTTCATTTAATAAGGTATTGCGTAAAACATTATAGGTCGGTAGATGTCAATGGCTGTCCATCAGAAAGTACTGTAAGAATATTAAATAGTTAACTTGTTTATATGTATTTTATGCTTTTATAAGGTTTATAACATGATTATTGCTGACTGAAGGAATATTGAATACTTAAAAGTCAATGTACGACATAATATGCTGACTGTGACAGACTAAGGTATTTCTTCTATAGGATGTAAGACAATGCTAAAATTTCAGGATGTCTTGCCCATTCTGATTTCAGGATATTCTTTTCCAGACGTATGCAAAAGCTTATCTTTCCATTGTCAGAATAACGTAATACAAGGAAGTAATAAATCTTATAGTCTGTACTGTATTTGCATATACCATGGCTAATGTAAGCAAACTATGTATAAAAGCCAGCTCTGGAATACACTCATTTGAGAGTCTTGTAAAGCTGTTGTCCGTGTGTTAATGCTTACAATGATCCTCCATCAACGTTGATTATGGTGACCGAGGGAACGAGAACCGAGGGGATTAGAGTCCATTACAACATTAACCCTTTCAGCTTGGTGTCTAGAAGTGGGATAGATGAAGTGGATCAGCAAAACCATTTGCGGTGAGTAGCCTTTTTGTGTCTTATTTGACGCTGATTGTCTATGACCCCCTTTGGTTCAGTAAGACTGTATCCAGTAGATAGGAAAGGTGTAAGGACTCTAGTTATATTGAGACTATAAGAGGTCTCCGGTTTATTAGACATTTGGTCTAAATATATATAGGGGTTCTTGGTAACCCAGGTTAGTATCTAAGATAGATACAGGTTTTTGAGACCATAAGAGGTCTCCGGTTTATTATAGGGTTTTGGTAACCCAGGTTAGTATCTAAGATAGATACAGGGTATCTCAGGTAGATACAGGTTTTTGAGACCATAAGAGGTCTCCGGTTTATTTGTAGATCTTTAAGTATAACCCAAACTTCTCTTTCTCCCGGTCACCTTTGTTTGTCTTAAGTGTTTTTTGTGGGTGATTGATTGTCTATATTGGGGACACACTTTGGTAAGTTAGTAGTGTCCCCACTCTGAGTCAGCAGTATGGGAAATGTGAGTTCATGTCCTGAGTGACCAATATATGTACATGTATATGTGTGTGTATGTATATATGTGTATATTTATGTATATATGTGTGTGTATATGTATATGTGTATATATAAGATAGCAGTACTTTTAAACAAATGGAGGTTTTAAAAAATACATAGGGATTAAGGAGAGAAAGCAGGTAACTTGTTTTTCTTTGGTTTTTACCATATATTGGGGCTGATGTGTACTGTAGTCCTTGCTGCTGTCCAGTAGTGATGGGAGTGAGCGCAGGACTTATCTTTCTGCAAGATAGCAGTACTGTATATTAGAAAAGAAATGACTCATAGGTTGTACCTGATAGACCTACTTAAATCTTTTTACTTTATTCTTTCTGTTGCATAGAAGTATAAGTTTATTACTCTGTTTTATTGTAAGTTATTTCACATGGGAACTGTGTGCCTGGAATGATTGTTGCTTTAAAAATACTATAAGCCCACTACACTTATTATGAGAGTGGGATAGTGTAAATGTGTTGCATTGTTTGCATGATGAGCTCAGTATATTTTATAACTGAGACAAAAAGTCACTTCATTAGTATTTGAAAGTTAATTCCCCATATGGGATTAATTGTATAGAAACACCAATCAGCACATCTTCCCTGCCCTGTGTGTTTGTTGCAAAGGATCCATACTGTAAATATGACTTATGTTTGAAAATAACAGAGCAACATTTACATTTTCAGCGGTCCAACACATGCTTTATTTTGCACTGTAAACTAACCTTTTTATTGCAACAGGTTCCTTTTAAATGATCCAGTGTAATAACTACTGCTTGTGTCTTCTATGTCTCACATTATGTGTTCTTTTAAATTGTGGTATATAGCCTGAATCAGACATCATGGACAAAAGGTTTTTACCTGTGTTACTAAGGGCTCTTGGAGACTGACCGGTCTAAAGGTTTGCCATGCCTTTAAAACATGGTACAGTATAAATTTTTAAGTCTCTGAGAGTTCTGAAAGATTCAGGTGAAACCATGTCTGTTTAATCTGGTCCAGATGTTTGTTCAATTTCTATAGGATTTAAGTTGATGCAGCATCATCTCAGATTAGTTAATGGAAGTTTTAGACAAATAGTTGAGTTATGAGCGCGCTATATAAATGGATCCTTTCTTTAAATACAATACTATAGTAGATTAAAGTAATGAAGTTAATTAAGAAAATGTATACATAAGAATCCCTAAAATAAATCTAAACTAAAATTGGTATACTTTCCAATAATATGTTCTGAATACAGCTGTTAACTCTTTATTTTGTGTAAATGGTGATTGTGATAATGTGTGATAAGTGTGCAGTTTAACTTGAAAGTGGTTTAATTTATGTTGCTGTATTGTTTAAATTATATGTGAATCAGTTTGTCACAGTCTAGTGATACTGATAAGAATGACAACCAAATAACCTAGCAAATAACTGTTTTATTAGTTGTTGAATACTAGCGTTTTGGCCAAGAATAGTTGGAGATTTGGAGGTGTTAAAGATTGCTTTTATATTGTGTCTATCTGTGTTTCCTAGGAGGGAGACAGAGTGTGTAGTTGTGTGCCCATAAATGTGATTTCTGTATTGGCATATCTGCTGGGTACCCATTATGTGTTTCTACAAAGATATTGTTTTATGAGATGACTAATATTACATGGGATGCTGAGTATGAGTTATATGGTTTGAAATGAATTGGTGATTATGAGCTTAGTACTTCAGTAAGATGTGCTAAAATTTGGAACAAGGTGGAAGCTGAAATGTTGGGATTATGGAAGAATAAGCAGTCTATATTCACTGCTTTGGCATTTAAGCGGGATGCAAAGGAAGAGATTGGTAATATGATTTTTGTAAAGAAATTTTACAAGTGTTGGAAGGATGAGGCAGGTTTGATGTCTGGAGATGATATAGATCTCTTTAAATACAGTCATGCCTTGGTAATATGTTGCCACAGTATTCTTTGCTTGTGAAACAATTGATCAGACTGGGCCAATTTGGATAGCTCAGATTTTCTTACCAAGGTTATAGAAAAGGAAAATGCAGGTTGTTTTGAATTAAGAAAAGATTTAGGAAAGTAAGGTTGCTTATTATGCTCAGGGATTGCAACATATTATGTCCAGCTACACAGGCTGAGAGCGAGGATGGGATGGAGCACATAAAGCCAGTGGAAGGGGTGGTCAAAGAGGGGCAAGGGGATGGAGACAGGGAAATCAGGGTTATAGGGGCAGGGGTAACCAAGGAGGAATAGACAGGAACACTTGTTTCAACTGTGGCCAATATGGCCACTGGAGGAATGAGTGTCCACACCCCAGGAAACCCCACACACCCCAACAACCCCACAATTCTCAAAATATGCCCGGTAGGCAAGAACAACACCAGACCCACTCCCAACACCACTGGCCAGCATATCGCTTAGTTCAGGACTTTAGAGCCCTGAATAGTTTAATTGTGCCCATTTCACCCATTGTCCCTGATGTGACATCCCTCATTACAGCCATTCCACATGATGCCACTTGCTTCACTGTCATTGATTTAAGTAATGCATTTTTTTCTATACCTATTGATCAAGAGACACAGCTACTTATGGTTTTTACTTTTTGAAGGCTGTCAGTTTACCTGGACACGCTTACCCAAGGCTATGTGGATTCCCCAGCTGTTTATTCGTTGGTACTCCAACATACTCTAAAAAACATGGACCACCGGTCATGGTTCCGTCCTTTTTGCAAAATGTTGATGATTTGTTGTTATGTAGCCCTAGCTATGAGGCAAGCACTGGATACTGTCACTGTCAGCAACTGTAGGTCACAAGGTTGTTAAACACAAAATGCAATTGTGTAAATCAAAGGTTGAATACTTAGGTTTTGTTCTGGCTTTAGGCACCAGACAATTGAGTCCAAAACGTATTGAGGTCATTCAGAGGATTCCTACACCCACTACTCGGAAGGAGTTGCTCACCTTCCTCGGCATGATTAATTACTGCCGCCAATGGATCCCTGAATGCTCCCATTATAACTCAATCCTAAGGGAGGCTGTACGTTCTGACAGCCCTGAAAATGTCTGCTGGTCACCAGACATGCTAGCTGCATATATTGCCCTTACAGTTGTTATTGTGCAAGCCCAGGCTTTAGGACTACCTGTGTATTGTAAACCATTTCATTTGTATGCTTGGGACAATTGTAAAACCATGGCCGCGGTCTGTGCACAAGAGCAAGGAGGCGGTATGCGTCCCATAGCATTCTTTTCCAAAGTAGTTCGAGCTCCGGTACAGGGTATGCCGGCGTGTCTCAGAGCATTGATAGCATGTGCAATGGCTGTTGAAACTGCTACTACTATCACACTAGGGCATCCTACAATACTTCATGCCAGTCACCAGGTCACTCAGCTGATGACAAATCTCACCACACAACACATGACAGCCCAGCGCTTCAGTGGTTATGAGATTCTTTTTTTAAATACCCACAATCTGTTTTTTGGATTAAACAAGGTTTAGAGAAAGATCAAAATGATCTGTTCTCTAAAGAGGGGAGAATAGGCATACTTGAAGAATAGGCATACTTGAAGCAAGCTGATTTATTTTCATCAGTCAGGCACATAGCAAGCACCATTCAATTCCTCATGAATTCATTTTATATTAGGAATCTCAGGCAGCATGTACAGTCTTTTGTAAGATCGTGTGAACGCTGCTCTTTTTACACACTTACAGATTGATTTTATTCATGTATCCAAAATTGGTAAGAAACAGCAATACTTACTGGTCATAGTTGATCAGTTTAGTAGATGGCATGAGGCCTTTGTGACATCTAGGGAGGATGCTAGTGAAGATTATTGTTACTGAAATTATTCCCCGGTATTGCTGCCCTCTGCAGATTGGCTCTGATAATGGCCCGGTTTTTGCAAGTGGGGTTGCCCAGGAACTTGCTAAATTCTTGCAAGTTACCTGGTAGTTTCATATACCCTATCATCCACAGAATACAGTGGTAGTTGAAAGGATGAATAGGACTATTAAGGAAAAGCCCAGAATTTACCCAGGAACATGGGTAAATTGGACTAGATATCTACCAGCTATTTTAGCTGAGATAAGAATATATCCCCACAAGGTGAATTGTTGATAAAACTGAATGGTATGTATGACAATGTTTCTTCGCAGTTTTCCCTTACCTTCACAGGAACCTACTCATTCATACCAGCCCGGTGACAAGGTGTATATCCGTCAGCTGAACAGGACCAAGAAAGGAGGATACCCTTTTGGACCACCTGCTACTGTGATTGCTGTACCAAGAACCGCTGTCCACAGATTCCCACGACATCTGGATTCACGCATCCCGAGTGAAGCTGTGTCCAAAGAGGGGAACCAAGGAAGACAACACCACTCCTCGCTCGGAAACAGAAGAATTTCTCCTCAGCGAAGCATCATGGTTTTCACACCATATCGTAGATTGAGAGGATCATACGTACCTGAGACCAAGATTATGTTGTGCGCTATGCTTTCTGGAGTTGTTATACTCCCTCTGATATTGTTCCTTGAATGCCATTATGAGTACAAGTCAATGGCAAGTTTGAAACCTGTTTGTTTCTGGAAAAAGACTCTGACATGATGAACAATTCTTCAATACCCCCAGCCCAATTAGGCCTTAGCCCCTCATCTAGCATTCGTCACACACGCCCCCTCAAGAACCTTTCTCCACCACCTTTCTATCAGCATGCAATATGCAATCATTCATTCACTGAATGCATTTGGATGAATTGGACAAATAGTAACCCTTATAAGTACCAGTTACCCATATGAAATGTGTCTACAGCTAATGAAACCGATGCATTATGTTTGTTTAAAGGTTCACAGAAAATTGTTAGATCTTATAACGCAGAAATGTGCACAGTTAAGGTTGCATATCAATGTAAATAGACAGGCCTTATTACTTTTAATAATGATTATATAACTGGTACCATTAATTGGAAAAAGGGACAAATGTTAGTCATTATGAATGACACTGCAATTGAGAACTATACACTACCTTATATTTTTACACCTTATTACTGTCCTTTATCCTCTAACATAGAACCAAAAGTCAACAACGACACACACACACCTATTCCATCCACATGTGTTAATACAACTGTCTTCTTACAAGCTGTACATGTGTCATTAAAAATCACTACTCCTGTTGTAACATTATGTAACACAGCAAACAAAAGGCAGAAAAGGGAATGGTATGACACACTGTTAGGAGGTGCTGGAACCACTATGGGTATACTAAATAGTATAGACATGGAGACCCTCAAGAATAAGTTAAACACAGCCAGCATGCATATAGGGACTGGTTTCCATGCTACTGCAAATTGGGCTCCAATTGTTGTTAAATCACAGGTTATAGGATTGGATTTAGATAAATCAATGTATAATTATTTAGATAATTTAACTGTTGCAACTATGAAATTCACTACAGATCTAAGTAACTGGAGTACTTGTGCCATCAGGTATTTATGGATACAACAACAAGGATTGGCATTAGAAAACACACTAATGATTCCTAAACTAGAGAAGATTAGAGGAATGTGTAACCTCACAGATAATGATTGGTTACTTCTAAAACCCCAATCCAGTAAATGCAATGGATGGTTAACTGGTAATGTTTCACATTTTTCATGCTCATGCTATTTAACATTATATCATACATTATCAAAGGATGTTAAATTAGCTTGTCAATTTAACACATTACCAGTACCAGTTTATGATCTTTTTGCCAAGAATTTAACCTGGTGGGCACCCACATACACAGGGGACTATATTTTTCCCAAAGATAACATACACAGGTAGCCACACATATCCTAAAAGGAGAACTCCTTAAGGTGAGTTCACAAATTCAGAATGATTTAGCCCATCATTGGTACGATGCTTCACTGGTTGGTCCCCTACTGGATTCCAGATAATGAAATCATTCTTCTATCCTTTTGTTATTATAGTCCTGATTTTATTGTGTATGATTTTATATAACTGTCACCTTACTTGTACATTGAGGAAGAGAGTACAGAAATGAATCCATAATGCAGAACAGAAACAATTAGAAATTCTCCTCTCTGCCACTGGAGGGTATCAACCCATCTTTAAACTAGGCCTTAGGAATTACCACATGGGAATCGAGGTGAAGAAATTAATGAAAGTCCCGCAGGGAGTGACTAGCACCCCTGAAAATACCATGTGGAAGTTTCTCTGTCCTGGTAAGATTTTATCGATAAGATGAGCAATTGTTTTATTGCTCAAAGAGGGGAATGTAAGAATATTAAATAGTTAACTTGTTTATATGTATTTTATGCTTTTATAAGGTTTATAACATGATTATTGCTGACTGAAGGAATATTGAATACTTAAAAGTCAATGTACGACATAATATGCTGACTGTGACAGACTAAGGTATTTCTTCTATAGGATGTAAGACAATGCTAAAATTTCAGGATGTCTTGCCCATTCTGATTTCAGGATATTCTTTTCCAGACGTATGCAAAAGCTTATCTTTCCATTGTCAGAATAACGTAATACAAGGAAGTAATAAATCTTATAGTCTGTACTGTATTTGCATATACCATGGCTAATGTAAGCAAACTATGTATAAAAGCCAGCTCTGGAATACACTCATTTGAGAGTCTTGTAAAGCTGTTGTCCGTGTGTTAATGCTTACAATGATCCTCCATCAACGTTGATTATGGTGACCGAGGGAACGAGAACCGAGGGGATTAGAGTCCATTACAACATTAACCCTTTCAAGTACCGGACACCACCCTCAGTGGATTCAGAATATTCCATTTGGACATTTCACTAGAACAGGAAATAACTGTTCCTTATTTTAAGATTTTGATGAATCTAAGGTACTATTAAAAGCTGTTTCAATAGCATATAGGGATAATGCATGGCTGGGGTGTTAACTTAAATAGTTACACATTATTAGGAAGGGTAGAAAAAAACAGGAAAGGTGGTGGGGTATGTTTGTATATCAACCAGGACATGAAGCCAAATCTTAAGCAAGTGGAATGTGACGAGGAATATGTGGAGGTTTTATGGGTAGATATCTGCTTGGATAGGTTATAAACCAGCTAATGTTAATATTGAAGTGGAAACTGGGAAAGCTGCACAGTTGGGTAATGTGAATTATAGGAGATTTTAATTACCCAGGAACTAGTAGTTCAGCAATGGAAATCAGGTTTTTGAACCTGTTTAAATGACACCTGCTTGTCTAGATCTGGTTAGAACAGTTAACCTTTCATTCAAGTAGGGGAGCACTTGGTAAACAGTGATCAAAATGTGGTGTATTTTATAATAAATTTTAAACAACTTAAACAACAAAGAAGTAATTAGAAGTACAGATCAGGGTTTTGCCACTAGCGGCCTCCCTAACCACTAAATCTGAACTTCGTTTCTACCTCACCTGCCTGAGTTAATTACTTCACCTACAAAAAGGCTACACCCTGCTCAAGAAAAGGTCTTAAATTGAAGTCGATGGTCCTTCTGAAAAGACGTCTGTTCCTGTCTCCTGTGAACTTTCCTTCATCATTATCGTCCTGTTGGATATTAATCTTATCTACTCTACCAAACCTCTTAATTCCAAGCTGATCTATGTGATCAATCTTCTTTGCTACCAAGCTAATTTATTTCCAACCTGAACTGATCTACAAACCAACCTGCATTATAGCACTATCCTGTTTTGTGATTTCAACCTGATTTATATTACCAATCAGGACTACCCTACCAATCGGCTTGATACTACCAACCTGTATCATACCACCCTGGACTATGCAAATTAACCAATATTGCAAAGAGTTATTTGCCTACTTATCAGTGCTCCATCCAAGCAGGGGGCTGATTCACTAAATTACTATTTTGTTTGTGATTCTGATACCTTATTGTGTAGTTCTGTTTAACATCTCACTATCCTATACAGGATATCCTCTAAATAACCGGTCTGTGGCATACTGCCTAAACTCTTTTCTATAGTTACTCCTTTTTCTTACCTATAATTCCGTTTTCATGTTACCAATTGCCTAACTCTTTCCTGTTCTCCCTTCTTTACTTACCTCCCTCTTTGGCTTGCTATTTGTGTGTAAATATGTCTAAAGACTCAAACTATCAAACATTAACCCAGTCATAAGTCTCTTACCTGACGTGCTCAAGACCATGACAATTGCAGTGGATCTACTTGGATTTTGCCAAGGCATTTAATATGGTTCCACACAATATGTTAGTGTTCAAACTAAAAGAAAATGGCCAAGATGAAAATTCTTGTGTAGAACATTGGTTTATAGATAGAGTGCAGAGAGTTGTAAATATACTATTTAACATTATTATAAACTATCTTAAAAGAGGGGAGGGGGAAGGGGAAGGGGAAGGGGAGGAACCATAATTTTCCCCAAACTAGCCATCTTCAAATTTTTCTTCCAAAATGCACAGTTGTTGTCCAGGAGAATAATATCAGGCTGATCTACTGATTTTACGATTTCTCATCAACTAAGTTCTTCAGCATTCTAGTTAATAGGCAAAAAACTGTGTTTATGCCTTTGTGCATCTGTAAAGATAAACATCTGGGTCACATACAAGAAGGGGTGCGGTGTGCTTTTTTTTTTTTTTTAAATAGTAATTTTTGGATAGCACACCATTACAGAAATAATATGCGCTAAAATGCAAACATCTTTCTCTGGGACTTCAGAAAAAGTTGAGCAAGCAGCAAAAGCTGCAACATGAGAAAATGCAAAGCAACTGCGGATGACAAATTTCTTTGCAAAGACCTCTTGTTTGGAAAGTGAAGTGGAACATGTTACAGCAGAACCAACCTGCACACGAGAAGAACAACCAGTAACTCTCAAAATGCTGGAAAAGGAAGTTTAAGCAACATTGGTGCAGGGAACTCACATGGATAAAACTTGACCATAACATGGGTCTAGCCATATGTGAGTATTGTGCCTCCTTCCCTGGGATTGCTGACCAAGCATCTAAGATTGTGAAAGGGTTTTCAGGGCCATTTAAACTGGAGACCTTATAAAAAAATAAAAAAATAAAAATAAATGGAAAGGCTTTACAGCACGAAAAATGTTTAAAAGCAAAACATGCCTTGTTTGGCTCCAAGAAATTGGCTGCATGCGTTAAGAAAATTGATCAAGTGATGTTCAAGCACATGAACGTTCTATTTAATGTGGCTTATTATATTGCAAAAAACAAGCCATATACAGATTTTGAAGGTTTGGTAGAGCAGACAAAAAAAAACTAGGGATTGCCCTGAGAGACAAGCAAGCAAACTATTACTATTGTATTATTTATATAGCACCAGCAAATTCTGTAGTGCTGTACAATGGGTGGACTAACAGACAGACATGTAATTTTAAACAGACAAATGGATACACAGGAACAGAGGGGTTGAGGGCACAGCTCAATGAGCTTATATGCTAGAGGGAGTGGGGTATAGTGACACAAAGGGTATAAGTAGGGGGGGGGGGGATTAAAACCTACTAACAGTTTAAATTATTCCTGAAGTGTGTTTTCAAAGAATAATTTAAAGGAGTGGAGACTGGGTGAAAGTCTAACGGAGAAGGGAATGGAGTTCCACAGAAAAGGTGCAAATGACAAGAGATGCAAGGAATTCATCTCAAATATTGCAAATATAAAGGAAAGAACTCATCTGAAAGCGTAAGGAGGCTAAATATGTCCGTTTGATGCTAGACGGATAGATTGATAAAAAGGAGGAGTCGAAGCGTTAATATTGCATGTCAGATACGTCAATAATAGAATTGAGCAAACCTGGAATGTAAAGTTCGGGTTCATACCAAACATTAAGTTTTTTGGACCCCTGACCCGAACATATCACTGTATGATATTCGGGTTGGAGTTTGGTGATTTAATGGCACGTTTTGAAAGGCTGCAGGGCAGCCAAATTAACAAGCGTTCTATTCGTTTGCCCTTAGAAGCCATCACAGCCATGCCTACTAATGGCATGGCTGTGATTGGCCAGTGCAGCATGTGACCCAGGCTCTATATATAAGCTGGAGTCGCGTAGCGCCATACGCACATGAGCTCATATTAGTGTAGGGAGAGGATACTGCCGCTTTCAGGGACAGATTAGGAAAGAATTCTGCCAACTAGTACATTAGTGGGGTGCACTTCATATCTGAGAGTCAAATAGAAGCATCAAATAGTGCGCTTACAATGCAGTGATTATTATGTTATTTATATAGCGCCATCAAATTCCGCAGCGCTTTACAATGGGTGAACGAACAGACATGTAGTTGTAACCAGACAAGTTGGACACACAGGAACAGAGGGGTTGAGGGCCCTGCTCAATGAGCTTACATGCTAGAGGGAGTGGGGTAAAGTGACACAAAAAGGTAAGTATAGTATTAGATTAGTGACAGTTGCAGAAGAGGAATCAGTCAGTTGTAAAAATTCTAATTGTTTTGGTGCTAAATAGTAACTTTGGGGCGTGCTCTTCATATCAGAGAGTCAAATAGAACACGACAGGTGCCAACTGCTGTGGCTTTCTGCAGTGTGCAGACCGGCAAGGAGGGCAGGGTTGAGGAGTGGGTGGAGGATGATGAGGTCCTAGACCCCACATGGAATGAAGTTCATGCGAGGGACGTGTCCAGTTTGGAGGAAGAGCAGTGTAGGTCGCTTTAGAGCACTGTAGTCCATGGGTCTGTTGACATGGGATCCCACCCCTTGCCACCAATTGAAGCGGGACCTGGGTAACCAATGGTTATCCCCTTTGATTAGAATAGGTCAGACCCATTTCCCCAGTAATCGGATGGGACACAGTTCCAGGATACAACGTTTGACAATCTTTATATGGGTACACAGCTTTGCCGCCTCTTCCTCCTACTCAGCTCCTTCCTCCTCATCCGGTCAGCGTAACACCTTCACCACCAACTTCAGCACAGCCAGGGGGAAATGACAGCAGGCTGTTTTCAAACTCATATGTTTGGGGGAAAAACCCCACACCGCGCAGGAGCTGTGGACGGGCATGGAACAACAGACCAATGAGTGGTTGTTGCCACTGAGCCTCAAGCCCGGCCTGGTGGCGTGCGATAATGGGCAAAATCTTGTAGCAGCTCTGGGCCTAGCCGGTTTGATGCACATACCTTGCGCATGTGCTGAATTTGGTGGTGCAGAAATTCCTGAAAAACTACATATACACACTATAATATTATATATATATATATCTATCAGAGCTGCTGCAGAAAGTGCGGGCCGTCTGTGCGCGCTTCCGGCGTTGTCAACCTGCTGTTGCTCGCCTGTCTGCGCTGCAGCGTAACCTCGGCCTTCCCGCTCACTGCCTCATGAGACTGTGCAAGCAGCAGCATCAGGAGATAGTGGAGTTTCAGCTGCAGCACGCACGGGTCAGTCGCTCTGCGGAACAGAGTTTTCATTTTATTTTATTTTTTATATGTCCCAATATTTTGGGGGTTACCCCAATAAAAATAAATAAATATATAAATAAAACAGTGTTAGCTACCTCCTCCTCCACCGCCCCGGTCACCGCCTCCTCAACCTATGGACCACTTCGTATAAACTATGTACACAATAGCAGAGGCTTGTGAAGGCCTTTTCTCCATGCATCAGGAGTTAAGCTCAGTTTAAACAATGAAAGAATACCCTGCACTCCAACCCACTCTCAAATGAATAATTCTGGTGATCCTCCTGACAGCCATGCTTTAGATTTTGATTTATGTTCTTCTAAAGCCAAAATCAAAGATTCTCTAGTGCTATTTTATGGCTCAGCTGTATTTTTCATTTTTGTGTTATTTTAAGTGATTTCCCTATCCACATTTGTTTGCAGGACACTTGTCCTAGTCTTACCCCCCATTTTACTTGCTTTTGCAGCCCTCTTGCCCTTTCCAGGACTTTTTTTTAGAGGCATTTTTGTGCCCAAAAGTTCGGGTCCCCATTGACTTCTATGGGGTTCGGAGTCAAGTTCGATCCTGAACCTTTTTTCCCAAAGTTCGGCCGAACATCCAAGTGTCCCCTCAACTCTAGTCACGAACAATAGGATTAAGTTCTACCTCTTGAAATGGCTACTGCAAAGGAGTATTTGGAAACCATCACTGAAGACACAAGGCCTCTTAGACTGGCTTTCTTCAAACCTGCTGATTGGAATTGGTATAGACTGTGCTGCCAGCATGATTGGAGTTGAAAAATGGACTGGTACAGAAAACATGGCAAGATTTAACTAATGTAATTGGCATTCACTATGTTGCCCACAGATTAAAGGGACACTCCAGGCACCCAGACCACTTCTGCCTATTGGAGTGGTGTGGGTGCCAACTCCCACCACCCTTAACCCTGCAAGTGTAATTATTGCAGTTTTTATAAACTGCAATAATTACCTTGCAGGGTAAAGTCCTCCTCTAGTTTTCCATCTATTAGACAGCCACTAGAGGGACTTCCCGGTTCTTAGAACATGAAGAGTTGTTTAAACTACATTTGACGTTCTCACGCTTTGCATGAGGACCTCCAGCGTCGCCAGAATCCCCATAGGAATGCTTTCCTATGTGGAGGTCTTATGCTCGCAGCCATTGCTGCGCATGCGCATTAGGTCTCCCCGCCATCAGGGGAGGAGCCTAACCCAGCACCAAGGGACATCGGCGCTGGATTCAGGTAAGCAACATGGGATAGGGGTGGGAGAGTCCCTTTAAATGCAAGTGTATTAAGCACTCTGAAAGATGGAAAATGCATTGATGACCTCGACGGTTTTAAGTAAGCAGTAATAATTTTACCAGTATTCACCCAAAAGAATGTGGCAGCTGAAGCAGGTAGCTGATCGTTTTCAGAGAAAATCCAGACATTTCAGTACTTACATAACATAAGATGGGTGTCAAGCAAAGTCAGTGCTCTCTCTGCACTTGTCAAAGACTGGAAATGTGTGACAATTCAGCTTGAAAGTGTTGCTGTAGAAAAAGACAGTGCTTCTGCAGCTGCACACGGTTTATAAAAAAAAAAAAATTAAAAAAAAAGAAAATAATTGATTTTAAAATTCATGCACATGCTCCATTTTCTGCTTGACTACCTTCAAAAGGGAAGAGCTTTTCTTAAGCACAATGCAGTTGCATTTGAAAAACACACAATGTCATCGTTAAACTCAAAGATGTTCCAAAACAGCATGAGGAATGATCAGTGGAACATCATTACTTAATATAAACGTAAAATTGCATGGACTTCCGCCATACTGAAGCTTCTTCGATCCAGCATGAAAAAGATATTAATTCAGCATGGTGTTAAATATCTGGTTTCTGATGAATAATGAACGGTCCACGGCAGTGTTTGATATATTTGCCTGGACATCAGGAACAACATTACCAGACTGAGGTTGATGACATTACAGCATTGGTTCATCATTTCCAGAAATAACGCTCACTGCCTGAAATGCATGCAGTTCAAAATGAGGGATATGAATTTAAAGTCATTGGCAAAGGGAAGAAAGTGAGTGATCTTCTGGATTTGGCACTCTCCACAGACAGATTTCCAGTTTTGGGAAACTTGTTGTCTATAGTGTGTTGCTGGCCGCATGTTGTGAAAGAGGGTTCAGCTTAACCCCTTAAGGACAGAACTTCAAAAGCTTGTATTTCACTTAATGACAACAGCATTTATTTTTTTTCATTTTTTGCTGTTTGCGTACAACTGCAATTTGCATTTTACTAATTTGTTGCACCAACATATATTATACATCATTTTTTAAAGGACAGAAAGGGCTTTAATTTGATGTAACATATATTTATAAATGCTTATTTATTATAAAATACAGAAAAATGTAAAAAAATTCAAATTGTGTTTTTTTACAGTTTTAGCAATAATAATGTGTGCATAATTAGTGCAGGTTAAGAAAAGTAATTAAAAATAAATTAGTTTTCTGATTTACAGAATATATAATGTGTCTGGGATTTTATGTTTTTTTGGTAGTTACAGGTCACAAAGCACAAGGAGTAAAATAGATTTAATGTGTAGCGATCTTAGAATTAGAATCTTAGAAAACAAAATGGCCACAAAAAAGTATATATATTTATATAAATTAGACATCATGGGCTATTTACCTATGGTTCTTTTGACACTTTCTACGTAGCCATTTCACCGCCAACCTCTGCCAAATATTGGAGTAAAATTGTGGGTTTTTTGGTGTTTGGCACACAAACTTATAACAAAGAAATTCTCATGTATATTTTGTAAAGTTGGTGTGTGCTATTCCTGTACAAAGTTTTATTTTGTGTTCAGTTACATCTGCTGAGTAAAATGACACCCCCATTGTATGTCTTTGGCACTATTTCGTGAAGTTACAGTGCCATACAGTATACCTGTCATTTTCAGTATTCACAGTAGAATTTTGAGAGATGGATTTAATGAGCCTTAGCTTCCATTTGGGGTATTAGGACAGTTTGACTGTTCAAAAAACCCCACAGAGGCCTACCATTTGTAATATTAGACACTCCAGGTTATCTCATAAGGTGCATACCCCCATTTTTTTCCACCAATATATGCCAAAGTATGTGGTAAAAAATAATTTTGTGCATTTACATACAATTGCAATTTTGCTGGGCGTTTTGTATATTTCATATGTGCCACTAAGTTCAAACCTCCCAAATTATGCTCAGCTAAGTCTTCTGAGTAAAAAGGACATTGTATGTCTTTAACACTATTTCGTGAAGCTACAGTGCCATATAGGAGACCAAGCCATGTCCGTTTTTACCGAACTTTGAATTTTTGACGCTTGGCCTATGTGCAATTTCCAAGCATCTTCGCAGGTTTTAAATTAAAACTACTCCAACAAAAGCCTACCATTTCTTAAATTAGACACCCCAGGCTGTTTCAAAAGGTATATTTTGAACCTTAGCGTGGGATCATTTTTCCGCTAGCTTGTACCAGATGTAGTGGTAATAAGCGTTTTTTTCTGCCTTTTTGCCATACAAAGTGAGTTTGCACAGTATATTTAGCAAACCTTGTGTGCTACGACTGTATAATACTTCATATGTTGCTCAGCTATGTTGGCTGAGTACAGCAATACCCCCGTATGTACCTTTGCCAGGTATGTGTGGACATCGGAGGGGCACATTTGGGACACAGCCATTCCAGGTTTTTTTCAAACTTTGAATTTTTACGGTGTGAGCACACCTGAGCAGGAGCAAGGAAAACCACCGACTGCCAAACAAACGGCAGCTGTACAGTCTAGCATATCACACCAAGTTACACCCCACACCACAAGTATTAGAAATCCATAAGGCAATAATTCCAGCAGGCAAAACAATCCAACAATATCCCAACATCAATCCCAATGACTGGACGACACATAGCATCAGGAGCAGAACTGAACTTTTAATCACAGATTCCTTATAAAGGATTCTCCCATTCAAGGGAGGGATTTACAATAATTGGTACAGTGACCAATAGTACAGTAGTTACATCCCATACATCTCCTCCCCTCAGTGACACATAATCCACTTATACATGCTACAGTTTTACCCGGTTTCTGGATGTACCCTAAAACAGTCAGGTACAATTGTATAAGTGGCACCCCCTGGTAGCCCTGATCTGGGTGACCAACATATTCAAAATTCACCCAGATCGGACCAGGGGTTCGGGAGTTAGGTGGAAGAGACAATTTGACCGACCGCACATGAGGTGGTAGCCGAAAAGGGTTCCATGTCTTTTGGCTGTGCGGTCGGTCTCCGTTCGGGAGATAAATACACATAAATCCTTGCCATCCACTATTAAAAATCGTTATTTGGGGGACGTGTCCTGGCGACGGTGCTGAGCGGCCGCATGTACTGAGCGCTCCGCTCCGACAGGACCCACAGGAGTAATTAGGCGGCTGTAGCCGACGATAAAACCGGGGACACTTATCCCCAAGCAAGCATGTCTCAGGCCAAGGGGAAACAGCAAGTAGAAAAGGCCGAAAAAAACCGCGTTTTTCACCTCCCGGACGCCGCAGGGGAAGCAGGCCTTGGTGCAGGAGGAATTCCAAGATGGCGCCGACGACCAGGATGAACAGCATAGTAAGCCCCCTGAGAATGAAAACCCTGTCACACAGCAGGTAATGCGGACACTACTAGAAGAAATGTCTGCCAGGCTGGAAAACAGCTTTAAAACAGCAATAGGGGCCATGCATAAAGATATCCAAGAGCTGGAAGTGAGAACAACCGGCACAGAAAAAAAAAAAAAATGGAGGAGCTAGTTGAAGCACATAAAGGTATGGAAGGAGAGGTGGAAGAGATCCGCAGCCAAATGAAAATGTATGAACTAAAGCTTGCTGATATGGAAGACAGGGCCCGCAGAAACAATCTAAGGATACGTGGGATAAAGGAGGAAGTGGGACAAGCAGAATTGGCAGCTTATCTGACTGCCATGTTGAAAAAACTAGCACCTGATATACCAACAGATCAATTGCTGATGGACAGATACCATAGAACAGCTAAACCCAGCTTCCTGCCACAGGACACCCCGAGAGATGTCCTCATAAAGATGCACTATTATCACGTAAAAGAAGTGATACTCCAAACGAGCAGGGCGAAGAAGAAACTCCCCGAACCTTACGGGGGATTGCTGATCTTCGCGGACATATCATATACACTAAAAAGAAGGAGAGACTTTAAGGGCATCACGGAACAGCTCAGGACCCACAAGCTCCCATACCAGTGGGGATACCCGGTGAAAATCCTGGTGTCCAGAGGCGGGAAGATATCGGCCATAACACCACCTGAGGAAGGAACTCGATTGCTACAGCGTTGGGGCATAGCTGAGCAGAGCCACAGACGAAGCCCGAATAGGACAGGCGGTTCCTCCACGAACTGGAGAAAAGCCTGAAAGACTGTCATTGGACTCATAGACTGCGTACTATACCGATGATTGTGGTGAGAAAGGTCATGATGCAACGACCATGGAGGAACGTAAGGGTATCGTATAAAACTAAGTGACTTACTGAGGTTATGACACAGTTAGATAATTTTAGAAAAAAAAAAAAAAAACACTTTTAACTGTTTACGTATATAAGACCTCATAAGTGGTAAATCACTCCAGTAGGGTAGCCTGGGACCAGACTGCCTAGACGCCATGACAACCATGACGGTACAGGAGTGGGCCAAGTCGGGGAAGCACCCCACCGAGAGGAAGTAGTACTTCCACCCCCCAGAGGTACTAAATTGTACCTATGCCGCATACGGCACACAACATATTCTTGTTAAGTTCATTTACCCTGTTAATGTTATGTTCCCAACTTCCCCCAGACAAAATATAACCTTCCCCACATGCCCGCAGGACGCTTATACAAAACATCAAGCACAAGGGGCTCTTGTACCCAATAATGTCCTCAAGGGCTCCCAATCACCCACGAATAGGCGAGAGAGGGGTGCCCGAATCTTACCCTCCAAGAGGGGGAAGTCGCTCGACTTGATGCTGCTGGGGCGAGCGAACTCCCCGCACAGGTGCTTACAATTCCCTTACTAAACTAATGGGGTACAGACCCCCATGAAAATATACTCGTTAAACATTAGAGGGTTAAACCTACCGGTTAAGAGACACCAATTGTACAGAGACCTTAAACAAGCGGATGCGGATGTTGTTTGTATACAAGAGACGCATTATAGGACCGATGACTATATCCCACCATCTGTACACGACTACCCACACCAATACCATGCGGCTTCCACTACAAAGTCCAAAGGGACTTCCATACTAATATCTAAAAGAGTGGCATTCACAATGATTTCAGTAGAGCTGGACATAAATGGGAGATATGTTATATTGAAATGTACTATTAACAACATGCTGTACACCATCACGAATCTTTATTCACCTAACACAAATCAGGGCGGGTTCCTACAACATCTGTTACAGAAACTGTCCACAATTCAAGAGGGAATGTCCATTATATGCGGGGACTTCAATCATGTATGGGACCCAAAGTTGGACTCCAATACCCCACGCCACAGCGCCAGATATAAAATACTACACAGACAATGTAAAAAAAATACAGAACCTCCTATCCCTACACCACTACTTTGACACATGGCGGATAGCCCACACATCGGAGCGGGCATATACCCACTTCTCACATGTCCACAACACATATTCGAGGATCGATGGGATCCTAATCCACGGACAGGCCCTTAATCAAATAGCTGACTGCGACATAGGCCAAATCACTTGGTCAGACCACGCACCAGTTACGCTGACGGTCAAAGACCAATATGATTATAAACAACGCAGCCCATGGCGGTTGAATGCCTCCTTACTGTATGATAGCACATTTAAAAAGGAAAGAGAGGCCACTATCCGTAACTACTTCTCAGAAAATACCACTCCAGATGTGTCTAAGGGCACAATCTGGGCAGCACACAAGGCAGTGGTTAGAGGGGTCTTCATTAAAAGGGCATCATACCTGCACAAACCGTCTTCATCCCAAATTACACAATGGAGACGGGAGCTATACCAGCTGAACACACAGAACCAACACTCACCCTCTAATGCCATTAAAATGCAAATCTCCATCATTACAGCAAAACTACACCAGAGGGCGCTAGAGCAGACAGGGTTCATGCTTCAACGACTGAAGTCGCGACAATATATGCAAGGGAATAAAGCTAGCAAACTCCTAGCTAGGAGGTTACAAGAAAAAAGAGCAAACCAAAAAAATTGCCTCTCATGTCCCCCACGGGAGAGAAGAAAATGATCCCAAAAGATATATGCAATGAATTTGCTAATTATTACGCCTCTCTATATAACATAAATAAGAACGACTCTACGTTCCACCCCACAGAGGAGCACATAAACACTTATCTGGTCACGATAGACCTCCCCAGGCTCACGTCCCAACAGGCGCAAGATCTCATAAAACCGATATCAGAGACAGAAATCCATAAAGTAATCAAAAACCTACCTAACGGCAAAGCCCCAGGCCCGGATGGCCTAGACAACAGCTATTACAAAACCTTTCTACAGCCAATTAGCACCCCAATTAGTACACATGTTCACTTGTGATATCCCTAGACGCGGAGAAGGCCTTTGACCGCCTGCACTGGAAATTCCTGGAGGCGGTCTTGGAAAAGTTTGGGGTGCCAGGCGAATTTCGCTCAGCGGTTAAGGCGCTGTACAGCGAGCCGAAAGCCCAAGTACTCAATGCAGGATTCCTGTCGAACGCCTTTGGCATCTCCAATGGGACGAGACGGGGTGCCCTCTGTCGCCCCTGCTCTATGTCCTAGCCCTGGAGCCGCTAGCTTCCAAGATCAGGGACCATAACTCTATACATGGCGTGCGCATAGGCGACAGGGAATACAAAACCAACTTATTCGCGGACGATGTGCTACTGACCCTGACCCAACCACTAATATCAATGCCACACTTACTAAGTGTAATAAAAGAATATGGTAAAAGTTCCTATTATAAACTAAACGTAACAAAAACCCAGGCAATGGGAATTGGTATACCCACTGAAGTGATAGGAGTGCTGAAAGAGAAATTTGAGCTGGACTGGAGAGCAGACAGTGTCACCTTCCTAGGAATAAAACTGACTAAGACAATAGGGGGACTTTTCAAGGCCAATTACGAGCCTCTGCAAAAAGAATTAGAGACCAGCTTGGCAGCATGGAAAGATAAATACCTGTCTTGGCTGGGACGGATGGCAGCTTTTAAAATGTCTCTTCTCCCCAAACTACAATATCTATTTAGAACGATACAGACAGGCCTACTGTCCTCATATCTAAACAAAATACAAACAATACTCACCAAATTTGTTTGGGCACAAAAGAGAGTGAGAGTAGCGGCAAAATTCCTATACAGACCAACCACCCAGGGAGGTCTAGCGTTGCCGAATATTAAAACCTACTGTCAAGCGACATTGGTAGCCCCATTGATAGGGATGCATACACAGTCCTCTTACCCCCAATGGCTAGTAATAGAGAACCACTGGTTACAAGGAACAGACCTCCAGAAACTAATATGGGTACCTAAAAGGTTGCGCCCACCACAACCCCACATACTACCCACCACCAAAACAATGTTGGAGGCTTGGGATAGATCACAATCGACATTAGTGTCCATGTCACCATGGTCACCGGCAACCCCGCTGTCTAGCCTACATATAGCCAACAACACGTTTGATTACAGAGAATGGACCAAGAGAGGATGCACACATGTACGAGATCTCCTAGAAGGACACAACCCCAGACCATTCCCCGTCCAAGAAAAATTTCAACTGCCCTCTAAACTGATATTTCCATATCTTCAACTTAAATCAATGCTAGGGGCCCAAAGACTCATAGATCAAGGGGGGGGGCGAGATCACGAGGCTGGAGAAAACGTGCATGGACAAAAAACAGAGGAAAGGGATTATCTCCATGTGTTACTCGCTTATGAACGTAGGTACCCCAACACATCTAGACAGATTCAGCGAGGCGTGGCAGCTGGACCTGGGGAAACAATTTGATAACACCCAATGGGAGACAGCTGTAACAGCGCATAAGGGGAAGACATTGTGCACATCACACATAGAATTAATGAGGAAAGTGTACTATAGATGGTACATGGTGCCCACCAGATTGGCGAAGATATACCAGGGAACATCAGCGCTGTGCTGGAGGTGTGGGGTGACGGAGGGCACGATGTTCCACATATGGTGGAAGTGCGGGACGATCAGACCCTATTGGGAGATGGTAGAGGACATAACTAAAGAGATGGTAGACACCAACATAAAACTGACCCCGGAATTGAGCCTCCTATTCATGAACTTAGACCAGTTTCAGGGAACTGGGGCAATATTGGTTTTCCACATACTGATAGCGGCCCTGACACTAATAGCTAGGGAATGGAAAAACACAAAGGCACCGACTAAAAGTGCCCTGATAAGGCAAATCTCAAATAACCTACACTACGAAAAGGTAGCGAGGAAAACCTATGGCAACAGCGCCAAATTCGAGGAAGCACAAGTTAAATGGGAAGCCGCATACGCCCCCAAAGAACAGGAAGACAGCGAATAATCCCAAACCAGGGAGTAGCCCCGTAAGGGATCCAGTGAGACAAGAGATACACCCCAGGGAGTAAGAGAGAGAGCCCAAGGGATAGGGACCAGGGAGGACAGAGGAGGCAGACATAGGACATCAGGTGGGCCAAGAGTCCTGAGCTGATTATAAAGTCTCTATAGGGAACAGAACCGGTAGGAAAAGGGACACGCAGATCTCGCCAAATTCCTTCCCCCCCTCCACCCCCCCACACTCTTCTCTCCCCACCCCACCAGTTTTACAAATCCCTTCCATGTTGGGATACTAGAGGAGAGATACAAACGAGTAGAAGCTTGAAAACCCGGAGAGAACCTAGGTTGGGAAGTACAGTCCATGCACGATACAAAAAGCTAATGACAGTTAGTCACAATCGTACGGTACGCAAGCAGTGACTAAGCACAGGACGGGTCTTGAACCCATTGGAAGGGAACAAGCCCAGGTCTAACACTATGGATAACATGTTATTGAAAAGTTATTGGATTGTAATATACCATGTAACGACGGTTATGATGTATACTATATGCGAGAACATGTGATGTACTGCCATACTTCCCCCCCCCCGTCTCTCTTCTGTACCCCATATACCCACATTTTTGGAAAATAAAAATTGTCAAATTAAAAAAATCGTTATTTGTCTGAATACCCTTGTTCGGTACTTTTAATTCACGGAACGAGGGGCTGGTTGGCCCCTCCGTTCGAGCTCTCAGCGGTGTTCGGGTAGTTGAGTGTCCGATTGGAGTTCCAGACACTCGACGACCAAACACCGCTGAGGTTTCGTGCATAAGATGGCCACCGCCATGTGTTCGTATGCCGAACGGCGGCTACCCAGATACATCTATAAAGTACCGATTGCACCAATTAACTTGCGGTTAGAGAAGTGTGAAAGCCTAATAAGGTACACACTTCTCTCTGGGATGGTCTAATGGTTTGGTAGTTTTCATTCGTATGGAATACGGATGAAAACTAACGAACAAATATACAATTTTAGTTATACATGAGAATAAAACACACGAATTGCACTTTTAACATAACCCTTGAGGACAGTCCAATGCCATCCGCTACACAGCTCTTAAAAGAGCTAGTGATAACACTCCAAAGAGCAATCCCAAGAGCAGGGATTATACAAGCACGAGACAAGGCTCAGTAGATTATAGCAGGTATAGCTTTCCCCTAGAAGCACGAGAATAGGCTCAGGAACTAGATTTTAATGGTGCCATACTGGCCTTTTAGGACAACCACCATGTAGAGGGTACGCCCACATGGACCTTGTTGGGGACAGGGACACAAACTAATAAGAACAGTGATTAAATGCACGACACACCCATAACATACAATCCCTCCCCTGGTGAGAGGGAAAGTAGTGTGTTAAATTAGGGGGGGGGCAATGTATTGAAGTGGTGGGAAAGGGCAGTGTATTAGATTGGGTCTGCATGGAGGCGCTAAATGGAGAGGCTGATTGGCCTGCAGCTTTTTGTCACACATGCGCAATAGCCTCCTAATGCTTTCCTATTGGAACGTATTGGCTGAGATCATAAAGTTTGATCTCCGCCAAAGTGAAGAACACACTCACAGGAATTCAAAAACAAGATAATGTTTTTTTTTTTTTTTTTTTACAGCTGTGAAACAGCATACCATCTCAATTTCAATCCCATTATCAAACTTTTCTTAATATGTCAAGGTAGTTGTACTGTGTGGCAGCAACCTTGGTAAGAAACCGGGGTTTTCGCCACCAGATGTCATTTTCCCCCTAGTAACGAATTATGCTGTAAGCACTCTGATCCCAGTAGCAATCAATAAGTAGTGATATGGCAAGTATAGCTTTCCCCCCCCCACAGACATTAGTGGAGACTGAATGCTGGCTTTTTGGAGGCTGCACACTGACTTTTATGCAACAGCCCCTGCAAGGGGTTTCTGACTCAACTTTACAAGGTAAACCCTCCCATGATCCTCTGTACCCAAGAGAACTATTTGAAATTAAATATCTAAATTCAATTATCTCTCAGGTACAGAACATTTACAATTTTTTTTTTCCCCATACACACAACCAGGTAACCTCCTCAAGTTTTCTATCCCCAGATAGCTTGGGAAGCGCTCAGATCCCGCAAACGCAGCCGAAACGCCACCGAGATAAAAGTTCTGACCGACCGCACATGAGGCTCCTGCCTAAAATAGTTCCATCGAATCAGGATGAGCTGTCAGTCTTTTTTTTTATGAATATGAAAAAAACATGCAAAATACCCAACATAGGTCTTAGCCTGTCTGTGGATTACATGCCCCTCATTTGGGAGTATGCTCCCAACGAACAGTGTTCTTTTCAAATGAATAGAAACTAACACAGACAGGAATGGAAGTTCAGAGATGTTTGGGCGGTCGAGTGTCTGATTTTAGTTCCATGCACTCTACTACCAAACACAGCTGCCTGCGTTCGCGGCACAAGATGACCGCCACCATGTGTTCGTACATGCGAACGTCTACCACCCAGTCAACCGTTTAGACTGATGCGGTCACAAGTTTTAACGAGGTGTTGACAGGGGTGATGGAGACTAACAAGCAGTATACGGGTGGTCTGGTAGTTCATGGTTTTGTTCAGTATTTGAACAAAACAAGAATAAAAATTTTATGTGAACACAGTATACCAAACGAACCATTGAATTAAATAAAAAACCTTTAGTAACCCAGTGACAAGGTGGTCTGTCACAGACAAATATTGGTTATATGCAAATGTACGTCTCTTTAAAATAATTTAGCTCTTTTGTTTACTTAGAAGCCCTACGAGCATTAGGACATCCAGTGTCAGATAGTTTTAGTTTGAAAAGTGCAGTATAAAATCACCTGTGTTTTGGGTTTTTTGGGCGGCCCACATACATTACACAAGATTGTGTTAGACACCCCCCCCACCCCAATATTGTCTTAGATTCCCTGTAGGTAATTAAAACAAAGACCTTTCTTTCTATCCTTAAAAGAAATTACACCCCCCACCCACAATTATAAACGCAACACTTTCGTTTTTGCCCCCATTTTTCCATGAGCTGAACTCAAAGATCTAAGACATAGAAACATAGAATGTGACGGCAGATAAGAACCATTCGGCCCATCTAGTCTGCCCAATTTTCTAAATACTTTCATTAGTCCCTAGCCTTATCTTATAGTTAGGATAGCCTTATGCCTATCCCACGCATGCTTAAACTCCTTTACTGTGTTAACCTCTACCACTTCAGCTGGAAGGCTATTCCATGCATCCACTACCCTCTCAGTAAAGTAATACTTCCTGATATTATTTTTAAACCTTTGTCCCTCTAATTTAAGACTATGTCCTCTTGTTGTGGTAGTTTTTCTTCTTTTAAATATAGTCTCCTTTCTATGTACACAAAAGGTCAAATGTTGTTCACAATCTGTCTAAATCTGTGTTAGTGAGCACTTCTCCTTCGCCGATAATCTGAATTTTATTAATCCACCTCATAGGTGTGGCAAATCAAGATGCTGATTAGACAGCATGATCGCACAGCTGTGCCTTACACTGGCCACAATAAAATAACTCATAATTCCACTAAAATGTGCAGTTTTATGATACAGCACAATGCAACAGATGTGACAAGTTGAGGGAGAGTGCAATTGGCATGCTGACTGCAGGAATGTCCACCAGAACTGTTGCCCGTGAATTGAATGTTCAGTTATCTACCATAAGCCGTTTCAGAGAATCTGGTAGTACAACCACAGACCACGTGTATCCACACCAGCCCAGGACCTACACATCCAGCATCTTCACCGCCAAGATTGTCTGAGACCTGCCACCCGGAAAGCTGCTGCAACAATCTGTTTGCATAACCAAAGATTGTCTGGACAAACTGTCAGACAGTCTCAGGAAAGCTCATCTGCATTCTGCTTGTCCTCATCGGGGACTCGACCTGACTGCAGTTCGTCGTCTTAACCGACTTGAGTAAGCAAATGCCCACATTCGATAGGGTCTAGCACTTTGGAGAGGTGATCTCTTCACGGATGAGTCTTGATTCTCACTGTATAGGGCAGATAGTGTATGGCATGTGGGTGAGCGGTTTGCTAATGTCAATGTTGTGGATCGAGTGCCCATGGTGGTGGGGTGATGGTATGGACAACAAACAAGCGCATTTTATTGATGGCATTTTTAATGCACAGAGATACCGTGATGAGATCCTGAGGCCCATTGTTATGCCATTCATTCACGACCATCACCTCATGTTGCAGCATGATAATGCACAGCCCCATGTTGCAAGGATCTGTACACAATTCCTAGAAGCTGAAAACATCCCAGTTCTTGCATGGCCAGCATACTCACCGGACAGGTCACACTCATTGAGCATGTTTGGGATGCTCTGGATTGGCATATATGACAGTGTGTTCCAAGTCCTGCCAATATCCAGCAACTTTGCACAGCCATTGAAGAGAAGTGGACCAACATTCCACAATCAACAACCTGATCAACTTTATGCAAAGGAGATGTGTTGCACTGCGTGAGGCAAATGGTGGTCACACCAGATACTGACTGGTTTACTGATCCCCCAGACCCTGCAATACAGTAAAACTGCACCTTTTAGAGTGGCCAGCTTAATGCACACCTGTGCAATAATCATGCTGTCTAATCATCATCTTGATATGCCACATCTGTGAGGTGGATGGATCATCTCAAAGGATAAGTACTCACTAACACAGATTTATGAATATTTGAGAGAAATAGGCCTTGTCTGTACATGGAAAAAGGCTTAGATCTTTGAGTTCAGCTCATGAAAAATGGGGGCAAAAACAAAAGTGCCGCCTTTATAATTTTGAATATATATAAAAAAATTTTTTT